ATCGAAAACAGTATCATATCGAAATCATTTAATATTTAAAGAATGTTCATAAGTATGTAATGCTTATACTAGTACATATATGTTTAAACAATGTGAAATATAAAAAGAGTGTATTAAAATATTCAAATAATTGTTAATTAGTTAATAAAAATGTCTATTGTCGTTAAAAAGCTCGATGACTGTGATCTATGCACTGTCCTCTTCGAAACCTAACGTTGAAATGAGCCTTTGCCTTCTATGTAATTACTTTTATTGAAAGTTGTTTATATGACTTTCCGTACGTTGCGCATGTGTAAAAAAGGAATAATCCACCTAAACCATAAAATTTAAGATTATAACGTTCTTATTTTTGTATTCTTTTAATTTTTATGTAATTGTTTAAATAAATGTAAATTTGTTGTAACGTTCCTGTGCAGTGGTGACTTTGGAGGGAGAAACTTTTATCGAAAAGAATATCACATTGAAATTTTTTAATATTTAAAGTATGTTAATAAGTATGTAATGCTTAAAACAGTACATATATGTTTAAACAATCTGAAATATAAACAGAAGGTGTATTTGATGTATATTAAAATAATTGTTAAATAATTAATTGAAATGTCTATTGTTGCCTAATAGCTCGGAGTATATGTATGCTCGCATAATATACGAACTAAAAAAATAAAAATTATGATTATAATTAATAATATATTTATAATATTATATTTTTTAATATTATAATGGCATTCTTTTAGTTTGTGTACAATTGTTTATACAAAAGTCTATTATAAATATTTTATTATAGATTTAATAAATAATAGTAAATTGCTTGGGAAAGTATTAATGAACGTATCTATCAATATATCTACTATATGTATATATATTGTGAAAGGCATTTAAATTCCACCCTCGAGTCAAAATTTTGACGTTTTTTTGATTTCCAATGGGAATCCATATGTTCCAGTGGTTTAAAGAGTGGTTTAAATCGGTTTCCTCCCGTCGCAAAAATAAAAGATTTGTAACAGGAGCGCATGATGATACAAGAGGTATCAGGAGGTGGATTGATTTACCGACTGACATGTTCCGATGGTATCTCAGCGACTGTCGGTAACTCGCGTGGTAAGTTACCATCCGATATTCGCAGTCGATAAGTCGTGGTAGTACCTTACCATAGGATCATCTCAGTCGGTAAGTCACTCCACTTCTTGATACCTCTTGTATCATTGTGTGCTCCTGTTACAAATCTTTCATTTTTGCGACGGGAGGAAAATGATTTTAACCACCGAAACATATGGATTCCCATTGGATTTTAGAAAAACGTCAAAATTTTGGTTCGAGGGTAGGATTTAAATGCTTTTCACAGTATATATACATATAGTAGATATATTGATAGATACATTCATTAATATTTTCCCAAGCTATTTATTATTATTTATTAATTTTAATAGTCTTCTATAATAAAATATTCTTTATGGACGTTGTGTGTGTGTTTATTTGAACAATTGCACAGGAATTAAAAGAATACCAAAATATAATCATAATTTTAATTTATTTCAAATATTATATGCGCGTACATATACTCCGTTCTTTTAGGCAACAATATAAACACTTATATCGATTAATTAACAATTATTTTTTTTAATGCACTAATGCATTCTACGTATATTACAAGAAAATTGTAACCCTCGAAGTCATCACTTCGCAGAAACGGTAAAATAATTACATAATAATGATAAAAAAGCTAAAATTAGATTGTTTAATCTTTAATTTTATTGATTAGGTGGCTTATTCTTTTTATACACATGCGCATCGTTCGGAAAATCATATAAACAATATTGAATAAAAGAATTTACTTAAAGGACAAAGGTCCAGTTTGAAGGGGAATTTCGAAGAGGACGGTACATAAATCATATACTCCTAGCTTTTAAGCAACAATAGACACTTCTATCGATTAATTAACAATTATTTTAATAATCTAATACACTCTCTTTATATTTCAGCTTGTTTTAACACATATACACATATATACTGATTTAAACATTGCATACTACTTAACATATTTTGAATATTAAATAATTTTGATGTGATATTCTTTTGGATGAATATTCCCCCCCACCCCTCGAAGTCATCACTGCAGAGGAATGTTAAAATAAATATACATCAGTTTAATTCCATGTACATTAGTTTAATTACACGTAGAAAAAAGTGGTTATTTTAATTTAATATAAGTGTCATTAAAAACCGTTCACTCTAATTGTAAGTATAAAAAATCTTAACGCGAACTATTAAAAAAAAATGACAATAATCTGGACCTGGATTGGAAAGTAATGTTTTAAAATCAGAAAAAAGGATCAGAATACGACATTACGTTAGAAGTAAAACTTTTTGAATTTTTCTCGGCTTCAGTTGCTCCATCAGTGAATTGTAAAGTATTAAGAAAAGAGAAAGATTATAGCTGAAACAAAAAAATTATTTTATGCATAATTGATTTATTTTAAAATAAAAATTGTAATGTCTCGGATCCCTTAATGTTTAAATCTATTAATGAGCCATTTTTATATACATACACATATATATTTATCATATTCAGTATAATTATTATTAATTAAATATAATATTGTTTTTAAAACAAATTGATTTATTTTTAAGAATAGGAATATCTTTTTAATATAGATTTTAAATTATTATACGAAGTTATATTAATAACAATTGAGGAAATGTTGATTAACATGCTTAAATTGAAGAATGACATACTTTTAATTTGGCCCTAAATATAAAAATATAAGAACCTAAATACATAGATACCTATAAAAGAACATTGGTTTTGATCACAGACAAGATATAATTTAATAGTATGCTCTACAATATTTCTTGATTTCGATTTTTTAAATACAAACTTTACACTCGCTATGTTATTTGTCATATGTTATATACATACATGACATGTAAAGTGTGACACTGAATACAGTAATAAAAAACATCTATGATAAATGTCATATTTTACATAGTAGGCATAATATACTCATGATATCATATTTATTGATTACAAACAAGACAGAGAAGAGATATTATTTTTAAGATATAGTAAATAAGTAAGAGTTTGTCGATAAAATGTCTATGTTAAACATCACATATGTTTTCCAATCAAATTTGATACATTCACTACAATTATTATGATCATAATATAGTGTGTCTAATGCTATATGTAAATAAAAGTTTCTATAGTATTTATTCGTTATATGGTGTCTGTTTTAAAAAAAAATTAATATAGAATAAAAATAAATTATTTAATAATTTCTAAATAACATGACAGATTGATATGTATTTATTTAACATTTACGCAAATATGCAATTATTTCATGCAGCATAAAATTGTGTAGCATATTATTATAGTAATAAAATTATTTTCTTTTTGTTGGCAAAGTTAGTAAGATTCTTAAAGATTCGATGTATTCGTATAATATTAATGAATCAATTCGTTAATAGAAAATAATATAGAATAAACTAATTTTGCATTATTCGTAATATTTTTCAACAATAAAGAAAATAGATTATCAATATAAAAAGTAATGTAGTAATACATAAATTCATTATTTAACAATACTCTTTAGAAAAATGCAGCCCTTCTTATTCTTCAATAATTGTTTTACAATTGATATAAATATATGTATTATTCAATTTATACAGATGATATATAATAAAAAAATTAACAGGAGGAATAAATAAATTATGATTAATGTAATATTGAAAGAAGTATTAAAATTTTAGTAGTCTAAGATTCCTTATATCTAAACCGTTAAAGAAGCAAGTCTTGAGACTAGAGCAATGACCTAAAAAAATTAATAGATAATCTTGATAGTATCATCAATAATTACCAATTATTTGGTAAATAATTTTATGATACAATATTGAACAATACGTGGACAGAATCAATAATAAACTATGATGTATAAAACATGATTAAAATATGGAATAAATGTAACAAAACTTTGATTATTCAAATATCAGTAATTAAACAATGAAGAACGTGTGTTCTTCATATTTACAACAATGTTTAATAGAGAAAAATGGATTGCAATCATATTATTGATATTTCGTGAGCACTCTATAAAATATTTAAATATTCATATGTTCAAACTAATTCTCTTAATTTTAAAATTAGCATAGTAAACACATATTTGTATTGCACATGAGACATTAATCTAAAAAGTTGTCAATATTTTATTTTAGGACATAAACATTGTGTTCTCTCTCTATAAAAATCCATCAAAATTCATACATAACTATTTGTACTTCTGAAGCAACCAAAATCTTATAAAAATGATGACAGATCAATCAGACAAAGAGTATTCTTATAAAAATTTAACTAATCTGATAGTCTGTCATTAAAGAGAATACTACTATAACATGTAAAAATCAATTCACTCTAATAATTGAAATAGTATATGGTATTTCTGCTATTTACTAATATATAATATCAAGAGTGTGCGAATATAGAGTAATATTGTCTGAGCTGTGAAACATCGACTAGTATTGCATTTAATATATGGGATGAAAAACGTATAATCTTATTCTATTATATAAATATCCAATAACTGACAGTTCTGCTGAATTCATACAAATGACATATGATAGCCATAAGTATTTAAGAAAAACGACTGCAACCGCAACTATTAGTATCACCAATTGATGTAGTCTTTCCATTTATGGATGTTGCATTTGTTTCGTATCTAGGTAATTCCTTACTACGTGCTTGCTAAAATGAAATATTAAATTTATCAGTAAAGAAAGAATACAAAAAGAACAATAATACTTACATCCATAAGTTCGGCAGCAATCTCCATAAATAATCTTTCTACATTTTCTGCCTCTTTTGCTGATGTTTCTAAAAAGTACATTCCATGTCTTTGTGCAAAATCTTCGCCCACGGGTGTTGGTATTTCTCTATCTTCTCGATCTATCTTATTACCTTCGAATGATTTAATAAAATGAATATATAATTGTAATCAATTTTATTCTTAATATACTATAGTATTTAAATATTCTCTACTCTTATACTTACCTACTAATATCCTTAAAACTTTGTTATTTGCATATTCTTCAATTTCTCTTAACCAGTCAGGTAAACAGTCGAAAGTAGGTTGGCATGAAATATCATATACTAAAATCAATGCATGAGCAGATCTATAATAACTTTGAGTTATTGAACGAAATCTTTCTTGTCCAGCTGTATCCCAAATTTGTAACTGTAATGAAAATAAATAAATATCTAATATATATTTATCACACAATATAAAAAATGCATAGATAAATTTTTAATTCTGTATGATATATGCATACATATCACGTACATTTATATATATATATATATATATATATTTTTTTTTTTTTATATTTAATTATGAGATATTATATGTACATGCAAACCTTGACTTTTTCATTTTCTACTTCTACAGTTTTAATCATAAAATCTACACCAATTGTTGCACCTTGACCTGGAGGAAATAAGCCCTGTAAAACAAACAAAGAAAAGATATCTTTATATAATAAATTGTTTATATTTTATTAACGAAACATTAAGCAATAATCGTAACATATGATACACGAATAGTAAATGTTCAGTAACTAAGAAGTGAAATCATTTCTTTAATAGATCGGATGATGTCATACGGGAAACCTAAATGGAAATTATACGAGAAATAGTTGAAATAAGAAAAATTACCTGGGTAAATCTGCGTACAAGACAAGTTTTTCCAACGCCGGCATTGCCCACCAGGACAACTTTGAAAAGAAATTTGTAGTCCTCCATCACATTTGCACCGTATTTTATCCCAAAACGATTTTACAAAAGTGAGTCTACCTATACATTTGCAAACACAACACGCGCACTTTCTACACTTTCAGATTACCTTGATGGTTACCTTCAAATTACAACATACTTGGAGAAAGAATTTCACGATATCCACCCTTTTGATATCACGAATGAAAATGCATTACGATATATTTGAATATATACAATTAATTTATATTGAATTATTTCACTGTAGCGTTCTAATTCTATACAAATCTAAAATACGAACGGTTAATAATTGCCTTACAGCAGGTTTAGAACACTTGGCCATTCTGTCAAAACGATTGTATTATCTATAGTTGTTATTACTAGATCACAATGAGCGCTTTCTATAATTGCACACACAAGTGCATACACGAAATATGCATGTAGGTATGCAATACATACTATACAAATTTAAACGTATACACAACAGTTATAAGTGTTTTCATTGGTTTATTATACTTGGATTGGATAAATGAAATTCACGGATAGAAGAAAACTAAACCACCTGATTTTCTTATTTTATAATTGGCAATTGTTACAATTAGGTATTTTAGTTAAAGCTATTTTCAAAGCAGTTTTTATATCGTAGCCAATAAAATAGATGCACTCATTGGATGACTTATTAAAACATTATGCATTAAATACAATGTTAAAAAGTAAAAATTATATACAAATTCGTATTATATTTATATAATGATTTATTTACAATAATGATTCATTTAAATTTATATTTTTTTATTATTAAGATAAAATTACGTTTTCATGGAAACATCCTTTTCACTAGCGACAACTACGCCAGCTATCGAATCATAGTACAGAATAGGATAGACTATTTAAACTTTGAAACGAAGATAACGATTGGTTCTAAGTCCAAACAGCGCCTACACTCGATCAATTTCCACCAATGAGCTTAAAGGTTATTTTATTGCAGTACCGTTATAAGATACAACAAAGGTATGTCAGCCATTTTAAGTGAATCTCGTTCTGCGTAAGCAGTGGTGTTCGTGTAATTTTCGCTAAGAATTTATCATAATAATTTACCTCGTGATGATTCTATATTCGAAAATGCGTTAATAAGGTAAATTTTAATTGATATTATTTAATATCAAAAGGGACGGTTTCTACGAAAGGTGAAAAATAATTGTTTTCATTGTTATCAAAATTTGTTACACGGGCGTTGGGAAATCCAGATGCGTGGTAGTTTCTCTTATGTGACTAATATTTCTCTCGCGTTGTAGAACAGAATTGTGTTAATATCGAAATTCAAAACATGGACATATAGTGTGCGTAAATTGATAAGTTTATACAAATAATCAATAAATCATTAATGGAAATTCATCAATTTCCAAGAAGTTCCAGATATTACATAAATAGAGATACTATTGTGCTAATTTCTGTTTCGAAGTTGATAGCACAGGCGTCGTTTTTTTAATGAAATAAATGATCTTAAGAAAATAGTTTTATTTTTGTTTTACTTATCTGAAGGTAGTGAAAGTGAAATTTTCCTAAATTCATTATTGAACCTATTAATTGCTTCATATATTTATATTTAAATACATTTGGATTGTTCATGCTGTTTTAATAGTGGTTTATGTATTAATTTTTATATACTAACATATAAATCATTAAAGTTAATATCAAGGTGTGTATATTTGACTACAAACTTATTTATGAATTGCATTTCATAAGAAACTTTGTTTCTGTTATGCAAAAAATCTCATTTCAACTATTTTCACATTTTACACAAACACACATATATATATATATATATATATATATAAAGTAAAAATTAAGGAGTCATAAATAATTAACAATATTATATACATTTCATTACATTTGTTTGTTGTGTTTCATTATACTATAGTGCGGTAACTGTGATTATTCGGACAAGGAATTGGTGCATTTATTTATTGGCAACTCATCAAGATGACATCGGCAAAGTCTAAAGAAATAGCTGATGAGTATATCTCATCACTGTCTGATCTTACGATTAACAGCAAGCCGCTTATCAATATGCTTACTATGCTGGCAGAGGATAACGTTGAACATGCATCTGCTATCGTCCAAGCTGTTGAAAATCATCTTCAAAAGGTTACTTATATTTTGTAGTTGCATTAAGAAAAACATATTATTTTAAAATTCAATACTTATGTCAAACATTCTTGTAATGTGAACATTATTTTCTATTTTATATTTTTGGGTATAACATATTACTGTATATCCATTTGTTGTAATTCATGCTTATTGTAATGTCATGAATAATTAAGATAATTAATTAATCATTTAAGATTATTTTATGTATAATTAGTTTAGCAAGCTAAACTACAATCATTTCTTATCGTCCATTTTGTGTTTATGACAAATGGATATATAGTATTTTGCAAATAT